AACGCTTTTTTTTTTTTTTGTTGAAATGAAAGCAAAAAAGTTGTACAGAGAGTATTTGGGGTTTTGGTGGAAAGACTTTTTATTCATTATTTATTTATTTTAATTATTAATTATTATTTTGTTTATTGGTAAAATATTGATTTAAAGTTAGATGATTGGCATTAAAAGCCAAATTTGGCGTATGTTTTGGTTCACGGTTTATTTCCATTTTGCACCCTTAAGATGTAATGTTTTAGCACTTCGCATCGTCAAAAAATAAAAATAGTATTTTGCACCCTCAGAAGACAATAATTCACTCACAACACACCTGAATTGAATAATTAATTTGGGCAATTTCATTTTTTATTTCTACGATGTAAATAATTAATTACATTGTTATTTTTCTTCTACCTTCAATCTAATCTCGAGCGTGAAAACTGAAAAGTGTGAAAGAAAAAAAATCACACTGAATTAATGAAAAAAACTATATTTTTCTATTCTAAAAAAAATAACTAAATTATGCGATTGATGAATCTTTTATTGTAATTGGTGAAAATATCTGGTAGAAATTATTGGAAAAAAATATAATTTTCAAATAACTTGATAACAAAATAGCTGCAAGAATTTTGTTATTTGGTAATATATTTTGTGTGATATAAATAATAATTCTTAAATATGTTGACATGTATTTTTATTTTCTTCACTTTGTAGTTTTGTAATTATTGATGAATATAAAAGATTTCATTTCACATTTTCCATCCTAAAAGAACACCACTAAAAATATTAAATCATCTTCATTAGTTTTTTTTATTGTATTTTGAGGGTGCAAATTGCTGTTAACTTTTTTTCAAGGGTGCAAAGTGCCATATTTCAAGGGGTCAAATTGAAATTAAGCCTTAGAGGCCTTAGGCATGTCCGTCTTTATTTATTTATTTTCGGTGGGCTTTTCGATGCTTTTAACATTTCATTTGATTGGTCAAAAATGTACTACACTTTGGTAAGTTAAATATATATATTATACAGTAAATAAATAAAAGAACCAATAGTTAATTTATGTGTGCATTGGATATTTGGATTAGTTGGCCTGCCAAAATCCACTTGGGATTAATGAAATAGTCAATATTATTTTATTAATCTTATATTATGCATTATTCTTACTTTTATTCAAATGTGGACGTATTCAATTTCAATACAAGTCGATTGTGCATTCCACAACTTGTTAACAATTATTTTTGCGACTTTTCATCGTGTTCGTTTGTATTTAAAATTTTAAATTGCTTTAAAATCATTTCTTTTTTTAATTGTATAATAATAATAATAATAGTAATAGTAATAATAATAATAATAATAATAATAATAATATAAATAAATAAATAATTATTGAGAAACCGCAGTCCATCTTGAATGAACATGTTTTTATGTGGGCATACGCATGCTATAGTGGACTACAAAATTATAATTACAAATATATATATATATATATATATATATATATATATATATATATATATATATATATATATATATATATATATATATATATATATATATATATATATATATATATATATATATATATATATATATATATATATATATATATATAAATTGGAGTTTTATCTATTAATTTAGTCTATAAGATTTTGAACATGGTCACAATATTAGATATTTTTGAGTTGTCATATGAATTTTGTTAGTGTATAGTAATTAATAAAAATAAATAAACAAGAAATAACAAGTCAAGTCAACGTCATTTTTGGAGGTCCTAGATAGATACATTTGAAATATTCATTTATTCTGACCCCATTCCTCCCAACTAGCCATAAAATATTGTTTGTTGGTTTATTTATTTATTTAAAAATATGTTATTAATTTCAATATCTTATTAAATTTTACTATTATTTTAAAACAAGTATTTGTACGGAGTTTTTTAAAATGTCATTAAATATGAATTATAATATATAAATTTTATCAATATTTTACAAAAAATAAACAAAAAAAAATCAAATTATAAGATTAAGTAATGTCTATTTATAAAAATAGATGAATGATATATTAGTAAATAAATCTTATTATAAATAATGTGTATTACTTTTTATTAATACTGAATCTTTTATAATTGGGCTTCAGGCCTGTTTTAGTTTGGGCCGAACTCCATTAAAAGAAGAATAAAATTACTTATTGGGCTATATTATGATTATATAGTTACAACAAAAAAAATTCATAAATAGAAATTTTCATAAAAATTAAATATGAAATCTAGAATAGATCTGAAAACCGAAGGTAGAATTAAATGGGTCATGGTCCAAGTTGACAAAGCTGTCACACAATTATGGCAAATTTTATAGGACAGTCCTTTTCAACTCATGCAATTATCCATCTTTCCTTAGATTCCAAATTCTTTTTTTGCTTTCCGACCCTTATATTGTGGATTATTCACAAAATGGACCTTTGGGTGGGGTCCACCACTACTATCCCGTGCTATTGGCTGTGGCAAAAGGCGAATCACGTGATAACACAACTAAGAGGCGCGTGACTTATTGCATCAACTCATTTCACGGTGTCCCGTCTCACGCGCCACCGCTCCTACTCCCCTAGTCTCGTATCCTTTGTTCAAAATTTAATTTTTATTAGATAAAGTCTTATTTTATGAACATTTCTTAACATCGAACTCTTCTTCACCATAGATCATTCATTATGATTATCTTTTTTTTTTTTTTTTTCGCGACGCCCGCTGACGAGGCACGATTGTCTGGATATCAAACATCTCTATTGTCGAAATTGAGACAGTCCTCCTCTCATAAGTTGAGAACTTCCTCCTTTACGGCCAGAACCAACTAATTTTCAACAACTGTGCAATTTATTAAGAACAAGAAATCGAACCGTCAAAATATGCTACGCAACGGCTCTGAGCTGCAACATGAGTTTGTCCACACTTCTTCTACTTCTCCTTTTTCTTCTTCCTTGGTCTATCAGAAAAATTCAAAACATTGTGATTTTCAGTAATTTCGAATATAAAGTTGTTGTCCGATAACACTCGTAGAAACACATTTTTCTAAAACGTGCTTTGGTATAATGACTAATACTGAAAAAAGTTTTGAGGAAAATAAATAAATAAATAGTATCGAAAATGTTTTCGATCATAATACTTCACATGAGTAGTGTGGAAAATAACCATAATTGTAATCTTAATATAAAGTGAAGAACATTCCAAACATTTCACGTTATATATAACCTAAAATCTTTATGTTAAAATTTAAAATTAAACGAAATTAATATTGGAAATGTCACCCTGAAAGAGGAAAAAAAAACATTGGAAACCGCACAATCATCACAGATAAATTAATCATTATTAATGCGTCCACAATTGCACCTGCTCCTCAGATCAGGCGCGTGCACCCACGCGCCACCACCGAAAGTGGGCTTTGACTAAAAAAGTACTGTACACTTATAAAAACGACAAACAAACCCATGTCCGAAAGCATTACTCTGTTTCTCTCCACTCCAACACACCACTCTCTTCGCAGCGTCACCATCCCTTCTCCACTCTCTCTCTCTCTCTCTCTCTCTCTCACACACACTCACTACTACGTTTATTTTCTTCCCGGCCGTTAAAAAATCCCGGCATGAATTGGGCGTTCCCCACCAAAACTGGCGTCGCCGCCGCCGGCGAAGGGAAGGCGGTGGTTTTCAGGTCGAAGCTGAAGTGGGTCGGGCTGTTCGGCCTCGTTCTCTCAGCTTTCTCTCTCTTCACCCACTTTCTTCTCGCCAGATACACTGATGGGTTTGCTGTTTCTGAGTACAAATCCTCCATCACCATCTTTTCTTGGAGGCCCATTTTCGAGAACGCAGATCTCTCCACTGCTGTAATGTGATTAAGATCTCAATCTTTAATTTTTAATTTTCTTGCTCCGATTTGAATCTGAAGTTATGTACTTCAAAAGGAAGGGGAAAAAAAAAGATTGAATTTTTATTGGGCTCAATTATGAAAACCTCTAGTTACTTTTATATGCTTTATGCAGCAATTTTGTTGGGGGTTTAATATTTTTGTAATGTGGGTTTAGTGGGGTCAAATTAGTATTTTTAATTACAGTTCTTTTTAATTGCTTTTTTTAACTCTTTAAGCATAGTTTAGATTTCCAATGTTGTTTTCTTGAATCAAGACTCAATTTTTAATTTTTATTTTTCATGATTTCTCCTGTGCAGCAGACTCCATTGTATAAAAGACTTTGGTCCCCTGTAAGGAATCTTGAATCGATACATCCCTACGCTAATCCGAGAGGGAACTATGTAGGTTAGATCTGCTTCTGTATGCTTGTGTCAGTGTGTGTTGAACAGCTTAAAGATTGCTTTTTTAATTAAGTTTAAACTCGATATGTTCGTCTGTTTTGGTGGGTGTGTAAGCGAATTCGATTGATTGTCGATTTTTGAAAAAAAATCGAATTCTGAAGTAGAACAATGTGCATTGTGCAGCTCCTAATTCGCAGACTAACGGATATGTTTTTGTGAGGATACGAGGCGGTTTCCACGAAATCAGGAACTCGGTGTGTAAGAAAGAATAATATTTCCGATTTACAATTTTCATTTTGAACTGAGAAAAAGAAAAATACTAATTTAAAAAAGGTTTAATTTTTCTGCAGATTTGCGATGTCGTTGTAATTGCTCGACTTCTCAACGCCACACTAGTCATTCCCGAGATTCAATCCACTACAAGTAGCAAAGGAATCAGGTTGCTAATCCTTTTTTTCCCCTCTATATGTTAATGCTATTTAAATCGATTTTCTAAATCTCCGTAACTTTTTTAATTTTTTTCTGGGTAATGTTGTGCAGCACAGAGTTCAAGAGTTTTGCGTATCTGTACAGCGAGGATCAATTCATCGCAGCTTTAGCACAAGACATCAAAATCGTGAAAACGCTTCCGAAGAATCTCAAAGGTGCAAGAAGAAAGAAAGAAATCCCTTCTTTCAAAGTAGCTAAATCAGCTTCCCCGTTTTTCTATCTTCACCACGTTTTACCGGTGCTGAATCGACACTCAGTTGTTGAGCTTGTTGTGCCCGATGGAGGTTGCTTGCAGGTACTCTTATTCTCTCACATAATAAATAACCAAAATAAAAAATTAAAAAAATCTAATCTTTTTTATTCTTACAGGCACAACTTCCTCCAAATCTCGAAGAAAATCAACAGCTAAGATGCCGCGTTGCTTTTCATGCATTAAGATTCCGAGACGAGGTGCAAGAACTCGCCACGAAGATTCTATATAGAATAAGATCTTCAGGGAGACCTTATATTGCTTACGACCCGGGAATGACGAGGGATGCTTTAGCTTATCATGGTTGTGCCGAGCTTTTTCAGGTGTTCTTGTAATAACAACTTTTACATCTTTGATTTATTAGCTTAATTTATTTAATTTTTTTTTGTTCTAAATTTAATTAGTGTTATGCTGACCGATTCTTTTCTAGGATGTACATACGGAACTCATACAACATAAACGAGCGTGGATGATAAAACGAGGGATGGTCAAAGGAAACCTCTCTGTGGATTCGGCTCAACAACGGCTTAACGGTTTCTGCCCACTTATGCCGGAGGAAGTAAGCTCCATTCTTGTTATCTGATCCAACTATTAGTTAGGCCACTTTACACAATGATAGCTTAGGCCACGTTTGGGAATATTGATAGCATTCATAAAGATTGATTGAATTGGATAGAAGAATTATATGTGATTGTCTCGTGTTTGTGACTTGTACTTGTATAATTTGGCTTCGTTGGTTCCTAAGATAAGATTAGCCAATATAAAATTAAAAAACCTGAATAAACAATTTTTCAATTAGTCAAGATTAGAGACTTGGAGTAATTCCAAAATTGCGGGCCGGCCCGAATAGTTATTGGACTAATCAAACCTCTAATAAAAAATCCAATTACTTAATTAATCATGGCTAATCCTACCAGCCAAACCAGGCCTTGAGTGTATTAGGTAATAATCCTTCATATGATTGTGTAGTAATAGGAGTCGAGGTTGAACTCGATATCATTCATATGCTTGATTAAATTACGGGCCCCTTTTTTATCGTGGGCTTAAAACCTAAATCCCAAGCATATGACACGTCTTGATTATATATGATTATACATTAGTCTATCAAGTCCTATCCTCGTTTCGAAATGAGGCCTAAATGTACTATTGATAATGATTGAAGTATTTTTTTTCCACAGATTGGTATTCTTCTTCGAGCATACGGCTATTCATCGGACACGATTATCTACATCGCTGGTGGAGAGGTTTTCGGTGGGCAGAAGAAACTAATCCCACTCCACGCAATGTTCGAGAATGTTCTAGACAGAACATCCTTAACCATGCCATGGGAGTTGAACAAAATGTACGGCCGTGAAGCAAATCTCGTCGACAAATCTCCCAAGATTAATAATAACTTATCACCTCCGACTAAAGAAGAAAAAGAACCCAACGCATGGAAAATATCCGGGCCCCGCCCTAGACCCCTCCCGCCTCCCCCACCCAGGGCGAAAAATCCATATAATATCGAGGGGTGGTGGGGGTGGGTGGCGGAGAGTGATAACGAACCGGAGAGTACGGTTGTGGAGTTGAGAATTAATGCACATAAATTGCTTTGGGAAGCGATCGATTATGCGGTGTGCGTTGACGCGGATGCTTTTGTACCGGGATTCGATCGAGATGGAAAAGGGAATTCGAATTTTGCTAGCTTGGTGATGGGGCATAGGCTTTATCGAAATGCTGCTTCTAGAACATTCCGGATCGATAGGTATTTGTCATAAAGTTGGATTCTTGGTCTAGTTTGTTCTTATTTACATAGAGATGTTACAATATCCTCTGTAAAAAAAAAAGAGTTTATTGCATTTAGTACCCCACGTTATTCATATTAGCAAAATTACCCGTGTAATGCATTTTTATTAGTAGACTACCCCTACATGGTGAGATTTAGGGGGTAGTTTGCTAAAAAAAATTGCATTATAGGGGGCTTTTTACTAATATTAATAATATGCCGATCTTTTTAGCAATTAGAGTAAACATAGGGTGCTGAATGCAATAAATTCGAGAAAACGATCTCAATACATAATTTTGTGTTTTTTTTTATGTGATACAGGAAAGAGACGACACGGCTTCTAGATGAGATCAGTGAACATTTTTACCAAGCGAACCGAACTTGGATCACATCCATACGCAGAAGTCTTAGAAGAAACTTAGTCGAGGGAATAACAAAGGAAATGATAAAGTCGAAACCGATGTCGTTTCTTTCTTTCCCGATTCCCGAGTGCTCTTGCTCGGGGGGCAACGGCCCCCCATCGATCAACGCTTCTAGCCACCCGTTGCGGAATGTTCTAGAAGCTATGGACCGTTGTCCATCTTGGATGGAGGGTGGTGGTGACGTGGCTTCTCCGACCGGTGGGGATAAGGTGGTCAAAGAAGAATATGATGATGACATGGATGGAGAAGAGTCCGATTCTCCGGCGGCGGCAGCGGCAGAGGAGGCGGTGCTTCTTTTCCGGCAGGGTGGAGAGAGCAACGACGGTGGTGTGGAAATGGGAAATAAAGAAGAGACGCAAATGGAGGATCAAGAAGAGCTTGAAGGGGGTGAAAAAAGGTGACCGAGATTCGTTCGGTCGTAATTTGTACAGATCTTTTTACGACGTTGGAAAATGCTCGATCATCGGACAGCTCATCTGCCAGCTCAGCGTGTCTTTGTTAGCACGCGTTCGTGATCGTAATTAAGAATGATCGAGAAGGTGGTGGCTTTCGTGTGGGCCCCAGCAGCAAACATGATTTTCTTGTGAGTGGATTTTTTTTTTAGTTAAGCGAAGCTATTAATTCTGATGTGAATTAGTGAGAAGATTAATGATTACATTGTAGGCTATATGTAGGAATTTTAGTACAATGATTATAAGTTTAGTATAGGCTCTGCTCTGCCTCCATTAATTTTGTTAATCAGATTAATTACAGATATATTACTGCTCCAGATTTTAAAAAATGCATGCATGCATGCATTTTTTTATTTTTTCATGAAATAACTTGGCACTAAATTTAATCAAATGTTATACGTACAATAAAACAGCATATCCAAAAGTATAATTGAAGTGATATAAATAGTTAATTTGTTTTACGGTAAATTATGAAACCCCACTGAACTTGGGTTAAATTACAAAAAGTACCCCCAGCTATTTGTAATTATTAAAAATCCCCCGACGTTTGTTCCAATATTACACGCCAACCCCTACTATGTGATTTGTCATGATTTTTTTTTTATTAAAGGGAATATTCCTCGAAAAATTTCGACTCTACCCTCTGAGGGGCGCCTTTAAATGGAACCTTTATTTTTCTTATAATGACCCACAACTTTTTAGTATTACCATTACTCTCCGGGAAGTAATTATTACCTTTAAAAAATAGCATAAAAGAAGTTTGACGTGTTGCATAGGAGAGAAGAAGCCGAATTGAAAGGGAAAAAAAAATGATGACGTATGTGAAGAAATAATTTCAAGAAATATAATCCATCGTCGTCTTGATTTTCCATGTGGGACGTGCGAACAAAATATAAAAACAAGACAAAGAAAAAAAACACACACACACACAAACACGACCTGCGCACACACTTTATTTACAGCTATTACAACATCAAAATTGTTTTTAAGGATCTTTATTTTCACACACGAAAATGTTGCACTCTCATCAATCTCTGCATGTTACGTGTGTATATCTTATCCCCAATTTCCGCTTTCTTAATATTTCTTTATTTCCAAAGAATTATATTAAAGTAAGTTTAAAAGAAAAAGGAAAGGAAAAATGAATAAAGTGATGATGGCGATTATGATTATGATGCTGCGTAGTGTTTCGTTAGGGGAGACGATGAATTCTCGGCCTCTTGCGCCTGCATTATATGTTTTCGGAGATTCGTTATTCGACAGCGGTAATAATAATCTCTTGCCGACTCTTGCTAAGGCAGATTTCTTACCTTACGGCATGAATTTCGATCGAGGACCGACCGGAAGATTCACTAATGGCAAAACCGTCGTCGATTTCATAGGTTTTTATAATTGTCTCCCTTTAATTTACTTTTGATCTTTCTTCAGAAGAAAACGAATATTGCTTTAATTTTATTTATTTAATTTTTTGGTAGCTGAGTTTCTTGGATTTCCATATTCTCCACCATACTTGAGTTTAAATCAAATACTACTTCATCCAGAGCAGCTCACAGGCCTCAATTTTGCATCAGGCGCGTGTGGTATTCTTCCTGACACTGGAAATGATTTGGTAATTAGTAATCACACTCGTAATCGTAATCGTAATCATAATCTCTCTCTCTCTCTCTCTCTCTCTCTCTCTCTCTCTCTCTCTCTCTCTCTCTCTCTCTCTCTCTCTCTCTCTCTCTCTCTCTCTCTCTCTCTCTCTCTCTCTCTCTCTCTCTCTCTCTCTCTCTCTCTCTCTCTCTCTCTCTCTCTCTCTCTCTCTCTCTCCCCCCCTCAGTTTTACTAATTAATTTCGATTGTCTGATATGATGGTCGTCAGGGGAGATGTCTGAATTTTCCGGAGCAAATCGACTTTTTCGAGACAGCAATCGAAGAGGAATTACCGAGGCACTATTTAAACTCCGATGATCTATCGAATCATTTAGCCAAATCAGTATACGTAATTTCAGTAGGCAGCAATGACTACATAAACAACTATCTCGACAAAAAGCACTACGACACCAGCAAACGTTTTTCCCCTCAATCTTTCGCCAAACTCCTCATCGATAACCTCTCCCAACAACTCCGGGTAATTCATACTTAATTATATATATATTTAATGTGTATATATGTATTTATCTATATGTACTAAATGTATGTATGTATGTTTTATATATATACGTAGAGGATGTACTATTTGGGAGCGAGAAAAGTGATCATGTTCGAGATTGGGCCTATCGGTTGTATTCCGTCGAGCACTGGGCAATTCAAACACAACGGTCGTTGCGTCGAGGAGTTTAACGAGTTTGCGGTGATGTTCAATGACCATCTTGCCCCCATGCTTGTTAATTTGACTTCTAATCTTCAAGGATCGTCTTTCGTTCTCGGTCACGCTCATTGGCTTGGATACGATGCCGTCACCCATCCATCTAAATACGGTAACTACTATTCCAAATAGTCCGATTTTATGATCCAAAAAAAATCGATCTTTATAAAATAACCTTTATTTGGTTTTTAGATTTGAGTGATTCGATGAACGCTTGTTGCGTGACGTGGCTAAACGGGACATCGGGTTGCATTCCCGAGTTAGGGGCATTGGCTTGTCATGATCCAGACAAACATTACTTTTGGGACGGCTACCATCTAACGGAAACCGTGTATCGAACAATAGCTTCACTTTGTTTCAACGGTTCTTCCGTTTGTATTCCGAAAAATATTAAAGATCTAGTGTTACAAGTTTGAATAATATTGCATAACTAAAGGTAATGTATAATGTACAATACTATAACAAGTTTCACTACATTTATATATTTGGGGGGATGACTTCACTTGTGGGATAAGTTTAGTTAAGGAATAAGTTTAATTGACTACATCGTTTAATTAAGGAATAAGTTTAGTTTCCTTAATCTTTCGGCTCGTGATTGTTGATTGGTGGCTTTCGTCGAGGCTTCGTGCCATGTCCGTAGTCCTTGACCATCAACTTTGCCACCTCATCAGCTGCCTCGAGAAAATATTTTGATTCGTTCTTTTTCTTAGTAACGTGATAATCGTGCTTATAAACCACGTTTTGATTCAACATTTCATCCTTGTTCTGAGAGTGTTACCAAAAAAAAAACAGCAAAAACCATGAAAATTTAATTTAAATGTTCGATTTTTCTTAGATGAATATAGAGGGCAATTTGGTCCATAAAAAAAAAGAGAAAAAAAAAATATAATACCTGGGCATTTTCTTCATCCAGTTCTAGCAACATTTTTCTTCCTCGAAGAAATTTAGCATCCTGTTTCATCGTAGATTAATAATTATTACCAAAATCAAGAAAATAATCGAAAAAAATTAAATAAAAACAACGAAGGCTTACATGTTGAATAGAAGCATATTTTCCTCTTCGATTGGCCCTTAGCCACTCTCTCTTTGATCCAAGAGTTCCTGTAATAAACAATAGATGATTCAAAAAAAAAATTAATTTTTTTTTTCTCGTAAAAACGAGTTTATATTAGGCAACTTACCTCCAAGAAAATTTGCAGTAGAGTACTCTAAAGCAAGAAGAATGAACACAACACTCAATAGCAATCTTGAATAACTCACAGAAACCATTTCACGAGATCGTTCGATTTCAAATTCTTTTCTTTTCTTTTTTTTATCCTTACATGAACAAATGAACAGAGGATCCTAGAAAACGCAATGTGGGCTTTTATAGAGTTCAAAACCAGAGTCAAAGCTAGGGTTCCGACAACTAGCTACTCCCGACAAACAGTACTTAGGGAAACTCGAACACACATTAAAATAATGACATAAGTTGACAGAAAACAATTACATACATGTAATTTGAATAATGAACGCGTATTTCAGCATTGGCTAAATAGACTGCATACGTTTGTTGATCACGAGGCATCTTTTGTCGACCGATGATCAAAGGGTGTTCCATGCCGGTTACACTTCAGCTTTCATCCGATCGATATCTTCTACTTATAATACGATATATTATATATATATATAAAAAAAAGAATCTAATTTTTTTGGATAGTCAAAAGATTAAGAAATAGTAATATATTTATGTGCAGAAAAAGCATTTTCGTCTTCGACTATGAGCTGTTACTACATTATTATACTCGAAAACCCGAATTATAAAGATACTCTTGTTTTTCAAAGTTCAAACACAGAGACTGGAATCTTGGCAAATTTTTCTTACAAGAAATTGATTGTTTTTTAGTATATCTATGCATGATTTAAGGTTGTTAATTCTTTCACACAGCTTTTTGTTCACAAATGGAGGCCATGCATTTTTTTCTTTAATTACTATATTTCAATTTAGCAAAACGTAACCAAATTAACCACCATTAAAAACAATAAACTAGCATCAAATCAAGAGTTTCAACAACGTGATCAAGTGGGTTTTCTTTTTTCTTTTTCTTTTTTTGTTTGCATAGAATTACTCAAATTCACCTTTAATTAACAGTTTTAAAACACAGTTGGTTTAGGTGTAAGAAGGTAATTAGTACACGAGGACCAGCGCCACTGGTTCTTTCTTGAAATCAGTGTAGGGCTGGGCATTTGGGATCGGGATTCGGGATCCCGTCCCGTCCCGAACGAAATTTTACTATTTGGGACTAAAACTTCGGGAATTCGGGATTATGAGATTCGGGATTGGGATTAGGAACAAATACGGGATCGGTATTAGGGAATTGGTTCAATCCCGATCGGGATATTTTAATCCCGAATTAGGAAAAAAAGAAAAGAAAAAAAAACTAATAAACACACACACACACACACACACACACACACATATATATATATATATATATATATATATATATATATATATATATATATATATATATATATATATATATATATATATATATATATATATATATGTGTGTGTGTGTGTGTGTGTGTGTATATATATATATATATATATATATATATATATATATATATATATATTGAGTGGTGTTATTTTTTTTTTAAATATATATATATATATCTATATAAATATATATATATAAATATAAAAATATATATATCTATATATATATATATACTGGAAACCATCATGCTTGTTGCTGAGGTACTTAGTTTTTATTTTTATTTTTTATAAGTTGTGTCCATATATATTGTTGCTATGTGTAAAAAATAGTTATTGTCATGTTTCCTCATTAATTCCGGACCTGGTTTTCAATTTTTTTCCAATTTAAGTTGCAAGAATTGAAGGCCAATCCAAAGAGGAATGCTAAAGGAACAGTGATTGAAGCTGGTCTTGATAAATCAAAGGGGCCTATGGCTACTTTCATTGTACAAAATGGAACACTCAAAAAAGGAGATGTAGTAGTTTGC